CGCCAGCTCTCTCATCCACACCCGGTGCCCCTGGCTTCGGCGTGCGGAGCTCGGCCACTACGCTACCGCTGCTGCGGCGCGCTGCTCGCCGCCCTCCTCGCATGCGCCTCCGATCACGCTGTTTGCGGCCGCATCTCGCGGCGCCTCGCTTGACCATCCTTCTTGCGCCGTCCGGCATTCCACCTTCTCACGCCTGCGCATGAGTTGCATCACCCAGACACAGCGCGCCAGATTTGCCTCGATCTTGAGACGAGTCCGTTAACTTCCACTGCCGTCGTGCACCCGCGGACGTCCCTACGCGCCGCCATCGAGCGCCGCCCGGCGTGCCTCGCCGGCAAATCACGATTAAGCCACCTCGCTTTTTTTCAAAGCAGCAACTCTCTGTCGCCGTGGAGCCGGAGAAAGCTATATTTTTTGGCTCTTGGCGCTCTCTCTCTCGCTCTCTCGGTGGTTTCCGCGGCTCAACGCAGAGTTTGAGCCATTCATTGTTTTTCGTTTGGTGGTGGAAAAGAAAAGCGCTCCCCGAGCTGGTCCAGAGCCATACAACTAAACGGCCCCTAATATGGCTTGATCGAATTCCTTGCGCCCCGAGCATCCTCATCAAATCATCAAGCCAAATTAGTTGGGTTGTCATATACTTCTTACTTAGCCTTTCACTTGCAAAAGGTACATACTTCAACATCGATTCATCTTATTTCCTTTGTTAATCAATTTCTTTTATATATAAAAAATATTTCCCTATATATCATATAAATATTTAACAACAAAAGTTACTGCTCTCCTCCTACTTCCATTGCGTATGTGTAGTTTTTATACTTCACCATTTTTAGTTGTATTGATGTTAGCAATGATGTTTTCTTCAATTTGTCAATGGTTCTTGGTGAACCAGTTATCCACAACAAGGCTTCATCAGGGAATGGGAATGGAGAGACAAAGGCGCTCCAACAGGCACCATAAAGGAATGGAAGACACTAACGAACATGCAACAATTGCTGCATGGAAGGCTCTAATAAAAATAATATATTTGCTTTCAAGATTTCACTATTTGTTACTTTAACCAACTCAAGTCAATGCGAAAAATTCCCGCGGCAACGCATGGGGTATCATCTAGTAGTTCATAAAACTAGATGACATGGACACTAGATAGTTCATCCTTTGTTTTGACATTCAATGGTTCACCACAACACAACATGACAAGGGTTTATCACCACAGAAATTGTTCAAACTACATCATAAAAGCCCCAACTAAATGCATTGAGGCCACTTGCCATTTCTCAAAGCATCTTAATTTTCCTCCGGACCCTAGCAAAGCCTTTGCCCATTATGCCTCCTCGAGCTGCTTCTTCCTTTTAGCCCTATGCCTACCCATGATCCTCTGACGCTCTTCATCTGGTCGATCCTTTTTTACCTCATTTACAACAAAATATAGAGGACACTCTTCGCCCTGTGCTTGCCCATTTACAACAAAGTATCAACTGACCAAAATCAGAGTTTCTCCACCTAGGGTTTCATCAAATGTGAACAAATACTTTAAATCCATTGGACAAATATGAGGAGGGGATGGGACCTCACCGTGCTTCACTAAAGATCTTGACTAGATTGAATGACTATGAGGGGAGTGTGTGGAGAGAGGGGTGCTGATAGGTTTCCTCCTCTCTGTTCTTTTCGAAGTGGCCTGGATGAAAGGGAGCGGGCGTGTTGAGCCTAAGTCCTAGACCATGGTGCCAAATCGCATGGTGGTGCCATGCTCAGGTGCCATGACACCAAGTCATCAACTCATATGGCCTCATACCCCTATGCTAATCCATGTTGCAACTATTCATCAACTGGCCCACACCAAACAATAATATGGTTCATCTACCATTACGCAGTGTCGATTGAAATGGCATCATATCAAGGTCAATTTATGCAAAACTTTTTTTACATGGGGTTTAAATGTAAATTTGTTTTGCTCGATAATAAGAATGACTAAATTGCAAAAAAAATCATTTCTCATTCCTGAAAAGGATGCAATTCTAGATCTACCTTCATTCAAACTATCTAAAGTTTATGACCTCAAATAGGTATAATATGAAACCAAATTTAATGGAGAATTTCATGATACTTATATGTTAGTATAAATATTAATTTATATTTTTTAATTAAATTGGTCAAACTTAATACGAATTGACTCGGCAGCATGTTGTAATTGTACTTATTTCATTCCAGTTATAAGATATTTTCGTTTGTTTAGAAAGTAGTGTATATAGAAAAATCAAAACTTTTTATATTTTCAGAACTAAAGGAGGACGGAGTAGTCTCTCCGTTTCAAAATAAACGTCGTTCTCGATTTTCGAGAAGTCAATCTTTTCTAATTCAACGTTGACAAAATATATATAATAAAATATTAATATTTACGGTACATAATTAGTATTATTAGATAGATGGTTAAATCTATTTTATAATAATACAGATATATTTAAAGATATAAATGTTGCTAATATTTTTTAAAAACTGGCGCGAATACGATAGCAGACACTTATTCTAGTTATTTTGTGATGGGAAGGACGCATCAAATGTACCATCCGCACCATGTTACTGCTCCTGCCGGCTGCCGCGCTGCGTTTTGAGTACACGACTTGTGGGCGCAAAGGATTTGAATGCCGGGAGCCCGCCGCGCCGACGCCGCGGGCCCGGCGGACTCACGTGAACAACTGTGGGTACGAAAGAAAGCATAAACAAAAACGACTGACTGAGGTGAGGTGTGCGATGGATTCGCCGTGTTTGCTGCAGCGCGTCCCGCGCGCACGATTCCATCCATCGCCTTATCCGGGCTCGATGACTGACTTCTCACGATCAGTCCAAACCCATCTCCTGTTCCTCGTAGCGAAATTCCCGGGCATAAACAATCCACCACAAACACACGCTACACACAGTCGGCTCCTACTAGTCGGCCGGCTACGCTTCTCCACGCTCCATTGCAGAACATTCAGGCTCCAGCGTCCAGCCGGATTGTATATAACATACAAATCCCCTGTTGGGTCGTCGCACAGCAGACAGCACCGCTATTTTCCATTTTGGATCCCTTGTGCACGCACTTAACACACTGCAAGGGCCCCAGTTGTGTGCTTATGCATAAGCAAAGGAGACGCGACCCAGCTCAAACTAGACTAAGCCGGCACGAAAGCTCGAGGAGGGAGGAAAAAAAAGAAATAAGAAGAATCTGACAGGAGCAGGATGAACGAAAGGAACAAAGCAAAGCAAATTGCGTGATTGTTTACGATAATAAGACATGAGATTATCGTGTGGCGTGGCACGGCGGCAGGGCTGCGGGCTGCGGCAGCCGGCCAAGTGGAGGAGCGCAGCGCCGGCGCATGAGGGGCGGCTGGCTGGTGGTGGAGTGGAGCTCATCAGTCATCGCCACCGGTGCAATTGCAGAGCCAGCGACGCCAGGGCCAGCAGTATAGAAGAAAAGCCCCGGGTCGCGGTCTCCACGACACCACCTCGGTGCCCCACCAATGCAATCGCCATTACCGTCCTGGCTCCGCCAAATGACTGTGCCACCACTACTCTACTCAAACTCTCAGCACTCAGCAGGGTCGCTGAGAGTGAGAGCGAAGGGCGAGAAAATCAAATCTCTAGGTCTTGTTTAGATTACAAATTTTTGTAATCTGGACACTGTAGCACGTTTCGTTTATATTTGACAAACTTTGTTCGATTCTGGACTAACTACGCTCAAAAGATCCATCTCGTGATTTACAACCAAACTGTGTAATTAGTTATTTTTTATCTACATTTAATGCTCTATGCATGCGTCTAAAAATTGATGTGATGAAGAGAGTGAAAAAACTTAAATTTAGAGGCAATCTAAACAAGGCCCTAATCTCCGTGGAAATTTCGAGGGCTTGTGCAGTTGCGCTGACGCCTGTTGGCCCGCCGTTCCCGCAAGACAGTTGACAGGGCGTTGTTCACAAAAAAAAAAAACAAAGACAGTCGACATGGCCGGGGCCGGGGCCGACGGCAGGAGAGAGCGAGGAGCATCTCGCAGATTGTCAGGCTGTGCCGATGTGCCCTCCTGCGCCAAAAGCTTGCGTGATGCAGTGTGAAATACGAGAAAAAACCGAGCAGCACGGAAGCCTATGCCTATGGCGTCACAGCCGCCAGGGCTAGGAGAGCTCCAAGAGCTACGCTCATTTCTCCTATAGCTCTGCCTCTGCTTCAGGTAGAGTCAGAGATACCATTACACAAAAGCTGCAGTGTGTCGCACAACCAAGGGAGGAGCTTACAGCTTACTGTTCCATTGGTCCATTCAACTCTACTCCTGCGGAGTACTACTACTACGGTACAACCTCACACAACTCACGGACACTTAGGCTCAAAATAAAAAAAACTCACGTACACTTTGCAAAGGCTGCAAGTTGCAACATGAGCCTAATGCTTGCTTCAACACCTCGCTATCACCACTCTGCTCTCCTAACTAAGCATATCATGTCGTTACGGGTGACAACACCATGTGATGTAACCAAGGGTGCACGCAACACGCACCTGCCCCAATACATAAAGTCCAAGTGCAAGGTGCACTCTTCTTCCTTGAGCGATCGATTGATCAGTCTCATCTCATCTTCAACCTTTCCAAGACCAGCACCAGCCATCAGTACTGTGGTCAGTACCCAGCAGTACGGCTCGGCCACGGATGGACCAAACAAGCTACTCCTACAGCTAGCTCGGAGAAAGGAAGAAGAAATAGAAACTGCCTCCAGAAATGCTAGGAATTAAAAGTTCTGCGCTAGTTGCTGCGCCGCTGCTGTCGCAGTAGAACCCTAACCGGAACCAAAGCTAAGCCTAACCTGGTCTAATTGAGACTCCTAAACTCTAATTAACCCAACCGGGACTACGACGACGATACTAGGAAGAGAGAGAGGGGAGTTCAGGTACGGTACAAGGCTATCACGGCCGGGAAAAAATGTACAGCCACCGCAGGGTGGCCATCCTCCTTGGTCCTTGCTGACAGGGAGGGCAGCTTAGAACGACGCCACGGCCGGCGCGGCGGTGGCGACCATGCCGCCTTCCTTCTTGCGGCGCATCTCGAGCACCTTGCGGTGGGAGTTGGAGTGGATGCTGCTCTCGAACGTGGGGCTGCACGCCGGGCGGTACTCGGGGAGGAGCCGCCCCGACTTGTAGCGGACGCCGCACGCATTGCACAGCGTCTTGGCGCCCTCGGGCCCCGCGCGCCACTGCGGGGTCTTCTGCACGCCACAGTGGCTGCAGCGGCGGTCGCTGGGCCCGGGCTGCTGCGACGCGGCCGCACCGGCCGCGAACGGGTGGTGCGGAGGGAGATGCTTCGGCTTGCGCCCGCGCTTCTTGGGCTTGTGCTTGCTGCCCTTGGCACCGTGCTTGGACTTCTTCGACGGCGGCGGCCGCGGCAGGAGGTGGCTGTAAAAGCCCTCGCCGAACTCGAGCCCGCCGAAGGGGGGCGAGTCCCGACGAAGGAACGGCGAGAACGAACCTGACGAGGAGCACGAGGAAGTGGTTGTGGTCGACGAGGACGACGCCGAGTCGGACAAGAACGAGGCGCCCGACCGCGACCACCCCGGGCCCCGCGACCGCTTGCTGCGCTTCGCCTTCACCGGTATCATCGCCTCCGTTGACAGCGCACATATGGTCGGCGTCCGCAGCGAGCCGGGCGGCTGCGGCGGCGCCACCGCACGGTACGCACCGTCGTGCGCGAGCGGCGGTCGCCGCTGCTGCGCCAGCGGGGGCCGCCCTGCCAACGACGCGACCACAGCAGCGGGCGGCTGCGGCGGCAGCTCGGAGAGCGAGTCGTCCATGATACGCGAGACCCACTCCAACTCCTCGACGTCATGCGACTGCGGGAACGCAAGAGCAGCATAAATAAATTAATCAGTTTCTGAGAATAACCCGATAGAGAAGACTCGCGAACGACGACGTCTTTCCACGAATAGAAACGGTCATAGGCCGGCCAGAAAAACTCACCGGCAGGTCAACCATCTCCGGCGGCGGCGGGAGCTCGTACGTCACGACCGACAGCGGCTGCGAGTCCGCTTTCGACTTCTCCTGGACCGCGGCGGCCACCGGCGGCGCGTCATCCTCGTGTTCTGCGCCGTCCTTGTCAGGCTCGCCGAACTCCTCGAGGTCCAGCAGGTCCTCGACCGAGAACCCGTCTTTCTCAACCAGCGCCCCGGCGGCGGCGGCGTCCTCCGCTGTCTCCTCCGGCGGGACGCTGTTGCTACACTTCAGCACGTCCATCCTGCCATCATCCTTCACCGGCCGGCCGGCCGGAAAAACAGGCATACACGTCGTACGTCAAAATCACAAATTCCCAATACCAGAAGGCAAAAGCAGGGCGGTTCAAGAAAAAGTTTTTCGTCTCTGTTCATTTTTTGTTTGTCTCTCCGAATATATAAATAAAAGAAACAAAAAGAAAACCATCCAAAGAATCTCTTTCGGTCCCCCTCAATCATCTATCGGCAACACCGGCCGGCACCGTTCCTTACCAGAGGGCTGCTATGGTGGTGCGCGTAGGACGGCATGGCGGAGGAGCTTCGGGGGAAGGCTAGGGTGCAGGAACCACCCGGGGCCGGGGCCGGGGCTGTGGTGGCGGCGTTGGAGGCGTGGAGCAGGAAAGGCGAGGAGGAGGAGGCGGAGACGGAGGGGGAAAAGGAGGAAGGGATGAGCGTTTGGTGGATGAGCGTTTGAATGGCTGCCGAAGTCCGTGGGCTGCTCAACAAATGACGCGCCGTTTCACCCTCGCCCCCTCCTCCTTCTCCGATATCACACCCTTCCACGCGTGCTTCCTCGGCACTTTGGCGCTTTCGCCCCCCTTTACTTTATTTTTTTGCCCACCGCGATATTCTGATTTATTTTATTTCCGCCACTTCGCTATGCTGGCAGACCAAAGCGAGGAAAGGTGGAAACGGCGCGTCGTGATGCGCGCTGACCCAGCGGACGTCCCGGATGGCGTGGCGTGGATTAGAGATAAGCGATGAGACTAGGGTAGTGCGGCAGGGCCGAGGGCACGTGGTGGGCCCGTGGCCGGCCCGGCGCCCCGCTACGGGTTTTTGGAGGTAGGCTGGGGGTGGCGCCTTTTCACAAATGGCGGATTTTCAAATGGAGGGGTTCGAACTGGACCCGCGCGGCGCACGCAGGGTGCATGGGCTTCCCGATCACGACTTGGGTCTGCTGTGGATGCAGTGGACGCGCTTAGGTCGGGTCAGTTTCATCTTCTTATAGTTTGTTTATTTATTTTCTTATATAAAAATAAAATCGTCTCGAAAATCTTTTGGAAGGAAAAATGATTTTGGTGTCGTTGCGTGTGGTGGTATCTGTTTGGGGGTATACACTGGTATGTGGATACGGTATTCATGTACAACAAAGGATTCTAGCGCGTGCATTGATCCTTGTGGATACGGAGCGTACTGTATCCTAATGCATGCACCCCTGGCTGGAGTGGAGAGGACCGATCAAATGCATTCGTGCTGCTATGCTAAGGACGTGCGCTGCTTGATTTGGAAATTATTCGTGCCCATTGATTTCTGATTTCAAATTTTGGGCGCGCGTCGTGCATATGGAAATCTGCCAAGCCAGGACACTTTCATGCACGCGAGCACGGGAATAGCATGCACAGTGATAGAAACACAAAGGCGTAAGGCTGGAATATATTATTTCCTCACCCGTGAAGCAAACTTGAGTTAGAAACCGATAGAAGCAAGCAAGATGCTCCGAGACTGTGGACTCTCCCCACCTTCCACCTGCCAGTCATTGGTGCTGAGAAATATCGAGAATATGCCATGTTTCTACTCGCACGTGTTCAGCAATTCGTCCTTGCCTAAACAGAAATACTATACGGAGTAGGTGTAAACGATTGCAGCTCCTGCAGTTCTAAGCTAAGAGAACGGACCCTTATTTTTTGAAGTAACAAATGTGGTGAAATCCACGATCGTGACCTTTTGAAATGCTGAAATTTTACTTGTTTTCTGTGTTTTTTCTTCAAAATAAATAAATTTATGCTTGTGAATTTTCTAATCTAACGTATATAGGAGGCCAGAAACGAACTCAGAGAGTCAGACGATTCCCCTCGTCGCCGGCTGGGTTTCCTCGCGATGCCGCGGCCGTGGCAGCACTCGCGTGGCTCCACACTGACGACTGACGAGCGTGTACGTGGAAATGTGGTATCGCGGAAATTGACTAGCGTTGTTTTTGTTCCAACGAGTTTACCAAAATGTCCCTAGAGGAAAGCTGGCAAGGGCACGCCTCGCTGGTGAAGTTGCCAGGGCGCCCGATAGCCTGCACGTCCCTTGCCTCCGGCTTCTGCAGGCCATACTCGTGAGGCTGGCTCGCGGGACCCGTGCTCCTGGGACCACATGCTAGTGAATGATTGCATGAAGTAGCTATAATATCTTCCGGCGCGGTTTGCGAGGTCACTGATGCCGAGTCGTCGTCCGACCTGGCAGGTACTCCCTCGTTCAAAAAAACGCAATCGTGTCAGAATTGCGTTTTTTTTTTACGGAGGGGGAGGGAGTAGGCAGACCCGTCACGCTCGCGACGTGGCCCTCGCCGACTGGATTGGACGGCGTGGTTGCGCGGTGCAGAGCACCAGACAGTCCAGGGTGTGGGTTCCAGCCACGCGCTGCTGCGACTTGAATGACGGGCCGGGCTCTGGTCCTGGGCTGGGCTCGATACCCGACGTATCAGTAGGGCAGTTTCAAAAGCAAGCTGCAGCTAAAACGGACGAGACGATCGCGCGCGCGCGTGCCCCGCTTCAGTTTCGAGTTTCGACGCGCGGCTGGTCCACGGACCGTTCGTAGACCACGCAAAACTCTTCGTCGGGTTGCCATCGGTGCACGGCAACAGTAAAGCGGCCATAAACGCCGCAGCAGGGCTCTGGCTGTGCCGTACATCAGCGAACGGTTCGATCCCTTGGAACACTCTGTTTAGTTCCTCAAATTTTGCAAAATTTTTCAAAATTCACAGTTTGTTAGATCGAATAACGTTTTTGAGCAACATATTTTGAACAATATTTGCCAAAGAAGGTGCTACAAGAAAATATAAATAAAAAATAAAAGGGCTCTGTTTAGTTCCTCAAATTTTTAAATAAAATTCACGTTACATCGAATCTTTTTGCATGAAGCATTAAATATAAATAAAAAATAAAACTAATTACACAGTTTAGATAAAATTCACGAGACGAATCTTTTAAGCCTAATTAGACTATGATTGGACACTAATTGTTAAATAACAACGAAAGTGCTACCGTACCATTTTTCAAAAAAAATCGCCTACTAAACAAGGCCCTAGTCCTATCTGCCTATCTCAAATTGATTCTGCCATGGAGTTGGTTATTCGTTTCTTCAGAGATTTAAGTGGATTTAGGCCTCGTTTTCGTTTGGTTTGGCTTCGCAGGGCTCCGGCTCCACTGCGCATGTCCTGTGCATCACTATACAATCGTGTAGCAGCCATTGCAGCAGGTTCGGCTCTGGCAGTTTTTAACAAGGAATGGGGAGGAGCTGGAGAAGCCAGTGTTTGGAGGCTCCGGCGGCTCCTCCATAGTGGTGCTACAGTAGTCAAAGTCAGCCGGAGCCCCTCCAAACAGGCTCTTAGACATACTACTTGTAAATCTCATCAGTAAAACATAGCAAATGTGTTATTTCCTAGGTGGTTTTATGTTGCTGCTGAAACTTTTTTACGTTGGTGTACATGATCATACAAACCAATATACGCACATAAACGATACTGGACCGATATATCTTTAGCTTTACAGGCCACTGTAAAGGTCTCCTTATTGATAAATACTCCCTCAATTACTAATTAAATCAACTTTTAGGGTTGCCGGGGCTTGTTCAGCTGGTATTAAAGCTGGCTGATAAGCCAGCTGAAGCTGGTTTATTGTGAGAGAAAAATACTGTAGATTTTAGCTGATAAGCCAGCTGATAAGTTGAGGCAGACAGGCCCTAAGCTAAACTATTTTCAATTGACTAGATTTATATAAAAAACGACAACAATATTTATGATAAAGTTAGTCTAACTAAATCTCGTGCAAAAAAGTTAGTATAACTAAATAGATAATATTTTTCATAATTGCGCACCCCCGAAACCGTAGGTTTGGGTTCGCTGAAACACGAGCACCAAGGACTACAACCAATTCCTCCTAGAGCCTGCAGGCCGCCCTTGGGGGCTACCTGAGGTTCAGGGGAGGCTTGTCGTCCCTTGGTGTCTCCATCATGCCTTCTAAAGCATGATGGTGGTGGCCTGCGGGCTTGGTCCCGCCCCCCGCCCCCATCCTTTCCTCCCCGCACCTTTCCGCCCTAGAGGTTGTAATGCTACGAGAAGGGAGGCGAAGCGATTTCTTGTCTTCTTCCTTCTGCTCTTGTAGCAGGCGCCTCTAGGGACCCCGATGTCGCTGCCTTGGTGGCAGCGCCGTGGCTCAGTATTGTGGCAGAACTGCCCGAAATAACACGTTTCGGAGGCGCTCGTCTTTCACTAGACGCTAATCACCTCGAAAGTGAGCTACATCGGACAGTTCCGTCGAGCACACCCCAAGAGAGAACTCGAAACAACCACGCTTTACATCTAGAATCCAATAATGAATACAAGCTTACAATACTTAGTGCATTTCATGCAACAAGAGTTCTTGGAAATTATTTATTACAGTACCAGAGTTCAGAGTGCGATAATTAAATAGCGGAATAAAAATAAACATCTAGCGGAAAATGATTTAAGGATCCGTCTGTGCCAACCAGAAGAATCCTCCATAGAAGAGCTACTCAAGCTCACCTACAACAGGGGTAAAAAAACCCTGAGTACACATAGTACTCGCAAGACTTACCCGACTAGTGGGAATAGTTTCCCGACTCCAAGGATATGATAGGCAATATGGGTTTGCTATTTTCTTTTTGTTTGTAAAAAGCAATACTAATAGTTCATCATTACAGTCAAGTTTTATTAGCAGTCATGATTACTTCATTAGCTAACCATTCTAGGTAAGCACATGTTCTACTTTCGAGTAAGGGTTGAGCAATCAAAATCATTTCACCATCTTTCATCTTCTAGTTCTTACTACGGTGCTAGACCATAGCCAAGTCGTACCGTCTCACAGAAACGGCGAGTCATGAACCAATGTATCCCAACTGGGTACCCCGAAGCACACACCCCATTTGTACCCCAGGCACAAATAAGACCAACCCATTCCACTCCTATCAAGGGGTCTAGGTCCCCGTCCAAACTTGGACTCCAAGCCCCCACACTTGAGACCCGGTCTTAGTATGGTGTTTAGACCTCCACCTTTCCCCGCCTCCAATCAGTTGGTCCGAAAAGAGCCAAAACCCACTACAAGAGCGTAGCGAGCCTTCCCGCTCCCATAAGCAAGTATGTGCTCAGAATAATAAGTTTGTGACCTGACTACCATCCACAGCAACGGACGGTCCTTAATAGACACGAACAGGGAAAATAGTGTAACCAAGCTAAGCCCCATTGGCCATGGGACAAACCTGTTACACCAACCAATACTCATACCATGTCTCTGCCCTGTCTCCAT